AAAGGAGCTAACTTAAAACAACGAGATAGAGACAGTAACAACATCCTTCACTGTGCCTGTCGGGGAGGAGATATAGAGTTGGTGAAGTATATCCTCTCTCTGGACATGTATAACATAGATACTGAACAGAGGGGACTGTCAGCAGTGATGATAGCAGCAAAATGGGGACACAAAGAAGTGGTGGAATTACTCGTACAACTTGGAGCTTCTTTGTCAAAGATAGCTTACAGCAAAGACAACATCCTTCACCTGCCCTGTTACAGAGGACATCTCGATGTAATGAAATATCTCCTCTCACTGAATGTTGGGGACATCAACAAGAAGGGATGGAACTTTCGGACACCAGTAATGACAGCGGCAGCAAGGGGACATAAAGAAATGGTGGAATTACTCGCACAACAAGGAGCTGTTCTGACATTCAAGGAAAGATCCGGTGACAACATCCTTCATTTGGCCTCTAAATCTGATAATGCGGATTTGTTGAAATATGTCATCTCACTGAATGCGGTGGACATAAACAGTAGAGGCTGGAGGAATAAGACAGCACTGATGAAAGCAGGAGGAAACGGATTTAAGGCAGGGGTCGAATTACTCGTAACAAATGGAGCTGATGTGTCACTCAAAGATGATGGCGGTAAGAACCTTCGTTATCACGCCCGAGGAAGTAGGGAGATACTGAAATATATAAGGTCACTTCGTAATTTGAAACATCAACGTTGAGAACTAAAAGAGATCGAGAGTCAGCAGCCAAAAAAACAAGTCGACAACAAAGGGAACAACGACGAAACCAACGATACCATTTGGACCTTCTTGTGACAGTCATACACACAGACACACACAGACACACGGGCATACATAAACAAAAAACACACATCACTTCGATTTGACATTAAACACCGTAGAACATTTCACTCTGCATACACACTTGAATGCATATGCCCATGTCACAGACATAAACTGTTGGCTCTGACAAGTTCACATTTCACAAGTGGATAATAGTGGCATAAGTTTACATAGAATTGACTATTGAGTTGTGGATGTAAAACAGTCAAAGACGTTGGATCAATATGGTAACGCAGTTATTAGTGTTGCTGTCAATGTATCCAGAGCAATAGCTCCATCTTTACAGCCGAAGCAGACAACATTTTACCTGCTCTTAAGTATATCAATAAACAATGTAAATATAAACAATACATTCTATTTTCAGATTCTCTTTCTTGACTTCAGGCTATTAAATGCATATCAGATAAACATCCAATTTGTCTTGAATTTTTTAAAACTATAAATCTATCTTGCCAGTGGCCAACCAGAAAGCGGAAGGTCGCGGGTTCAATCCCCCACCGCGTCATACCAAAAGATGTTAAAATATGGTATTTGTTGATCCCTGCATGGCGCTCGGCTTAAATGGGTACAACAGGGACTGGTCGACTCGGAGTCAGTATAATGTGTCTGAGTGGGGTATTCATGCTTCACTGCGGCATGGTATCTCAGTGGGCTAGCACTATAAAACCAGCTTCAGTCTGGGCTAGTACAAGCAGACGCACATACACATACACACGCATTTACGTCGTCATATGAGCGAAATATTCTAAATTCTAAATTCACCTGCTACTGGCCAATATGACATCGTCTTCTGTTGGTAACCAAGCCATGTTGGAATCACTGGTAACACTCAACAAGTCTGTGACACCACATTGATACACTACAGTGAATATAAAACTGTCATTAGACCTTATATCCGTGATCTAATTGCAAAAGACGCTGGACAGCCAAGTAGGTATAAATAAATTACAAGCAATAAACCTCATATATTGGTTACGCCTACTATTCGATGATGTCGCATTGACCACAGTAGATATACACACGACATTTTACTAAAAGGTGAAGTAAGAGCCAAAATTGAGATTGCACTATCTCTTCAGTCAGTGTCACCTGTAACTCACTCTTTACTCAGTGTCACCTGTAGGGAGATCTTTACTCAGTGTTACCTATAGGGAGATCTTTCCTCAGTGTCACCTATAGGGAGATCTTTACTCAGTGTCACCTATAAAGAGCTCTTTACTCAGTGTCACCTGTAGGGAGATCTTTACTCAGTGTCACCTATAGGGAGATCTTTACTCAGTGTCACCTATAGGAAGCTCTTTACTTAGTGTCACCTATAGGGAGATCTTCACTCAGTGTTACCTATAGGGCGATCATTACTCAGTGTCACCTTTAGGGAGCTCTTTACTCAGTGTCACATGTAACTTGTCGAGCGCCGCAGTTGTCGCTCGAGGTCGCCCACTACGAGGGGCATCTGCTACCGCATTCTGCCGGCGATATCTCTCCCAGAGCCGAGAAATGGTGCTTTGGTGAACATTCATGCGTCGGGCAACTTGCCGTTGAGACTGGCCAGCTTCAAGCAAACCAATGGCGATATGACGGTTGGCTTCACTTAGACGTGGCATTTTGTGTTCATCCACAATATTCCAAATACAGTGAATAAGCGACAGACAGCGATCAACCTTACATGCCCATCATTGAGACTATCTGATCCCCAACTTTCACGGACATTGCAAGTGAATTGTGTATTCTGTGACACTATATGCCGACATTGAAAATCATGCTGTTAAATACAGGTATTTTACGGATAGTGCATTATGTTATGATGCTTCAAAACATCACAGGGGGTTCGACACCTCTTTGTAAATGTCTTAAGACCCCACACACACACCCCCCCCTTTTCAAAATTCCTGGATCCGCCCATGGAGTGGATTTGTGATGAGATATGTGAAATTGAATATGTATGTCATGAACTTTGAACATGGGAAGTTGAAGTGAAAACTTGAATATGAACTATGCATCTGAGAAGAATGAACAGGAATTATGAGAATGAAAACTGACATGAGATTTGGAATAAAGGAGCAGACAATGACATGAATCTTCATTTTGTTTACTACAGATGAGGATCCTCAGTCCCTTGTGATGAGAGAATCACTTTTAGGCATGTCCTGCTTGACTGCATTGATTGCTCCATTAAAAGGATAAATGTTATATCAAAAAAGAAAAGGACCTTTTTAACCACGTTCATTCTCATTATGTTTTTTTCATATTTTTCATGTACAAGGTGATGTTTTTAATAACGTTTTAGATTATAATTATTTACAGAATTTTTTTGTGGTTCTGCCCCTCGACGGGGGTTGAAGTACTGTAAAATTATTGTCCTCCTGAGAGGATATGTAGGTTCAATTTCAATCATAGTATTGTTATTTTGACTACTGCATTAATATTTTTATTTTGTACTGTCCTGATGCAAATTTAATCTTAGAGAGATACGCTAGATTGTGGCAGCAGCTATGTTGAAGAAACATCCTGCCCCATTGACATCAAGTTCAAAGAGCACAAAACCTCGGTAGAGAAATCAGATCTGAAGGCAGCCCTTTTTGAACACATTGTAAACAATCCATCACACTCCATTGTCTGGAAAGCAACAACCATCTTAGCATGAAACATCCATGATTGGCGATGACGCAAGATTTAAGAGTCTATAGGCATCAAATGATTAGCGCCACAGTTGAACAGGGATCAAGGGGTTTACCTACCCAATTCCTCGAAAATCACTTAGGTCATGGATTCATCAACCCTGCCTTTCGTATCTTATCCCAGCTTATGTATATCATCAGACTACCAGCCAAACTTTTGTACAACTATTATACTCAATGGCTTCTATCATAAACTCACTTAATCTACTGTAACAACACATCTGCCTTTGTGTATTTTAATCTCTTTCATCGTACAATCCTCTTATAATCCCCTTTTTATTGTATATACATGCTTAAAATCACTCTGGCTTCAAGGACATTACTAGTATATATATCCTGTATATCTGATATTTAGCATTCACCTGACGAAGGGGGGTGGAATAGCCCAGAAACGTTGTGTATACAATAAAGAAGAAGTTGGCATCCATAACATTTTGTCTTATACATGCTAGTTTTAATTCTTGCTTCTGTGATATCCTATCTGGTTTTACTGTCCTTTATTGACAGGTTTTACTGTCCTTTTTTGACAGGTTTTACTGTCCTTTGTTGACAGTTGTTACTGTTCTTTTTTTTGACAGGTTTTACAGTCCTTTGTTGACAGTTTTTTTCCAATTACATTGTTACTAGTTCTAGTCACGATATGGCAGAAATACTGTCGATGCGACTACTTAAACTAACTCACTCATTAACTCACTGCTGTGTTAAGTAATGATGATTCTAATATCCTCCTCCCAAAGATTGTATAATACTAGATAATACAGACACAAAACATCCGATGGCAAAGGATTGTAAAATAGTAAACTATAGAAAACAGGCAGATGAGTTAATATTCCTGTAGATAAACAAGGTGTGAACTATGTGTAATGAAGGCTACATCGAAAATGAATACCATTTTTTGATGGTTGTTGTTCAGTATAAAACACTGTGTGAGAAGGACACACCTACTAAATATATGTCATACCCAACGCGTGATAAGTATAACATGCGCTTGGCATTTTCTTTTTTTTTTTTTATGGTGACCAATAACACCCTTCTGGTCAGGATAAGCACAAATGTGGACTGTTATCAGATATGACTAGGTTTAGTGCAGTTTCTACTGGCCTAAATGCCCAAAAAGGAAGAATTTGAGGGAGGACAAGAATTTTCCAGCCTTTTCAGTTCAATTTCCATTTTTCTCAATTCTATTTCCTTTCTTTCTCTTTCACTTTCCATTTCTTCCTCCATTTCAAACTTTTTTCATTTCCCTTTCTTCTTTTTCTTTTCTATATTCTGTTTCTTTTTCTATTTGAATCCTTTTTAGTTTTTTTTGTTTTTTTTCATTTCCAATTGGTCCCAATATCTTTCTTCAACCATTTCCAAAACTTCATGTCCAAAACCTCCCTCATCAATATAGTGATTCAACACAATTTGCAAAGCCTGAAATTTCCTCATATTAGGTTTGGCCTCAAGTATTTATAAATGAAATCAATTTCACAATAGGTCTCAATGTCAAATGAATTCTATGCCGGACGAGCCCCCAATTTTGTTATGGTGAATAAATTGCCGTGACAAAAGGTTTAAAGGTCACATGCAACGTAAAACACAACTTTGCAGATTCTGATACCTTTCGGTATGGACGTACCGAAACAAATCGTCAAAAATGCAAATTCAACTTATAAAGTTGAAAAATAACGCGATGAAAAAAACCGCGCGAAATCGGAGTTCAAACGTTTCACTAATTTTCCCCAGACTTTTCTGGGGAAAACGGGTTTCAACAGCTGGGCTGCGCTCATAGCACGTGCGCAAGTAAATAGGTTTGCGCAGCTTGGAAGCGGTTGTCGGGTGAATACTCGGTGAAGGCTTTGGTGTAAGCTATTTTTCTAATGTTTTGTTGATATCTCACAGGCGCGAGCTTTTTATATGTTATGACAGTAAATGAACTGTTTATATAATTTCATTTGTCTATTTCACCATACGTTCTTCTTACCGAGACACTTTCTCAGTTCGATACTGAAAAGCAATGTCATTATTTAGCGTTGACAGAATTTCTAACTGTGATATAGATATGTCGTTGTCACAGACAAAATTCAATGTCTTGTTTTATTGACACCTGTGTGTCTGCCTGCCTGTCTGCTAACGACAATATTCAATACACAACTGCTATCACTGACCACATGCAATTTGAACTTAACACCAATCAGGCTATACACCATAAACAAAACGCATTGATTTATGGCCCGAGTTCGGTCTCTGTCACATTATGAAATTACACAGACAGGCAGGTGTGATACTTGAACACATGACATGTTATGATGTCTGTTGATTGCAAAATGTTATACACAAAAAATTAGCATGTATTTACAAAACCCAACATCTCTATATATACACACACAATGAGCCGTGCATGAGGGCGGCATCTGCAAATGAACCAGCCGTTACACTTGAGTGCACACCCACCCGCTCTGACTGGGTTCGGTATCCCGGCTGCTTCGTTTCAAGGGAGGTAAACCCAAGTACAAAATATTGCACTTTTGATTTGCGATTATACGCTTATAATTTTGTTTATTTGTTTTTTCATAATGAGCAATGCATATTATATGTCATGAAGAAGTGACAATTGTGTTGTAATTATGTTTGATTTTTTAGTTTCATGTGACCTTTAAAAGTTCCCTTTGAACCAGCAAAATAAAGCTCAGACAAGTCTTAAATATTCAATAATGTATTGAACAAACAATGAGCAGGGTACAATGAATCACAATACAGATTTCTAGTACAATGCAATTGAGTCACAAATCTAAAGTGATGGGTCACAAATACAAAATATTAACTCACCAGAGTGTTGACATTTACAATGAGAGCAGACATACTAATAGCAGCTTGTTTACAATGTCAGCAGACAATCGGTCTTGGCGAAGTTGACAGACAGACGACGACGGTAGGCAGATGGCGACAGACAGATGTACACAACACAACAACCAGCCTTGATATAACTCTTACACAGTTCTCGAGCATTCTGTTAAAGGTAGGCAGCATCACTATCAACTCAGAACTTTCACGAATCAATTTGAACATGCAGCATGACAAAACAAAATAAACAAGCCAATGGAGGCAAGTGTGAAGTGCTATCAAAAAGGCGTACCGCTAAAGATACTATTGCCATTGAACATATATGATGCGAGATGTGACCCACAACCCACACTCAAACTTTAAACATTGTGACCCAATAATAACTATCACTTAATCACTGATTTCACAAATTACAAAAAAACATAACAGTTTCCTTCACATTTCTATGATACTTTTTGGTTTTTGTGCTGGTGATTGATTCTGGGTGAGAGACGACGATTGGTCTTGAGATAGACTGTACATGTCAGAGAGTGAATTCGACGTTTGAGCTGATTGTTTATTTGAGTAAATTTGAGGTGATTGGGAGTTCAACCAAGTCAGTTCTGTCTGGCAGTCAACAGATGATGTCTTGACTTGGGGGTTATTTCAGGGGCTGTCTGAACGAAAGACGCATAGGTTCCTTTGCGTCAGAGAAACTGATGTTTCTGGAAGTGTTGGCATTTGAAATACCTCAACGGGTTGGGAATAAAAGTGTCAACTTTGTCATTAGTTACTGCACTAATTGAAGTCGGGGAGAGTCGATGTTGAAAATGAACAGAAGGTATGTATCAGTAGGTTGTGTTTGTGACTTCTGTCGTGTGTAGAACCGTTTGACATACATAACGCCTTGATCTCACATCTCGAACACTAATTCAGCTTCAGTCCTATCAGTAAAGAACTGCTCCCTGTCTCGAACAATTCCTTCACTGGTATTGAGTGTTCTACGAGCTGTAACTGAAACAGGAACACCGACAATCGAAACTATTGACATGAGGTTGGTGGATTGTTGCTTCCTGTTGCATTCTATTAGCAGAGAACCTGGTCGCAATCGTCTGACGTTTTTTTACCTCGCCAGCTATGCCTTGAACACACTTAGATATTGCAAAAAGGTTCAATTTGAGAGGTGTTTTGTCAACTGTCTCAATCACTAGAAACCGTGGCCAATGTTCTACAGACGTTAAAGGTCGTTGCTCATCTTCATCATCCAGTGGACGTTTGGTTTGTTTTGAAATGGTTTGGTATTCCATGTGTGTTGGTAATATGGTTCATCATCCGAGCTCCCCACCCACCACAGAGTATCATAAAGACAATGCTAATAATAAGTGGAGTTCCTACTTGTAGCACCAAGGATACTCGGATGATATACTCCAGCAGAGAAACTAAAAGATAAACTTTTCCACCAGATTGGCCTATGAGCCACCGCCTTCTGGGCATAAGACTCTACGCAAAGCTCATGATAAATATATCACAACGTCAAATGCTGTTCTATGATCAGGGGCGCCAAGAATTAAATTTAAACAATTCCTAATCAAATTTTGTGCAATTACGTAAAATCCATGCACAGTGCCTGGCATGGGCAGCCGAATGATATAACTGGGCCCATTCTACCACTCGTCTAGGTGAAGTAAGGGGGAAAGTGGTGTGTTGAGCAAAGGAACGCTATTCCTGGAACCAGTGCCCTCAACCACCACACTCCCGTCCTCCACCGACACTGGGGCGCAACCTACGGCAAACAGGTTGGTGGACCAAATATAGCCCCGGGTCCACACGGGGGGTTGAAGAGCTCTTAGTGCTACCCAGCACCCACCACGAGGAGGTAGCTTTATGACCTGGGGGAGAAAAACAAGAATTGCATTGTGTCAAATCGAATTTAACTTTGGATTTATTGTAAACATGGTTTTGCAAATTCTTGAAGTTGTCTCTGAATCCCCTACAGTTCCACTGTACAATATGTGAAGACAGGTGTTTGTGAACAGGTGGTTCCATAAACACGTGTTGAATCAGCAGATACTTGAATAATTTCGGGACTATCTGTGGATACGGATAAAACTGTATTTTCAACAGGTGGCGGTTTTTCACTGGCTCAGAATATCTTATAACAACAAGGCTTGAAGGCGCTTGGTTCATTATATTACTATCTGTGGATACGGATAAAACTGTATTTTCAACAGGTGGCGTTTTTTCACTGGCACAGAATATCTTATAAGAACAAGGGTTGAAGGCGCTTGGTTCATTATATTACTATCTGTGGATACGGATGATACTGTATATTCAACAGGTGGCGGTTTTTCACTGGCTCAGAATATCTTATTAGAACAAGGCTTGAAGGCGCTAGGTTCATTGTGCAATATATTCAATGATAATGTGTACATTTCTCCAGATATTCAGTATCACTTTCTCCTATTCTCTCATACGGTTGTAAAGTTGGGGCTTTAAGGAAGCTAATTCTATTGAAAGGGAACACTTGAAATTTATGAAACATGTACTGTGTGTCAAAATGTTACTCCATTAACTTTCATATATGGAGAATTGGGTGCATTTCCTTTGAAAGTTAGCCGTCCGGTCAGTATTATCAACTATTGGTCTACGATTTTGAGAAGTAAACCAGATAGATATATAGTTTACACAATCCATATTGAATAGTTCAAATAAGAACACGTCTCCGTGTCAGTTATGATTGAAAACGGAACATGGAGCGTGCCTAAAATCCTATTTCCTGATAGATTATGTCCATTTTGTACCACCAAAAAAAAGATGAGTATCACGTACTCTTGATTTGCATTTGAGAAATACGCCAACAATATTTGAAAATATAAGAATGTTTAAATTTATACAATTGTAATAATTTGAAGTAATCACAACTGTATAGTGTATTTATTATATCTTAAACGAAAGAAACTAAGGTGGATTTTGTGATATTTTTTGTTGTTGTGATATTGGGCAAGAATATTCTAATTATTGTCTATATGTGTGCCTCACATTGTGCACAGGCAGATATTCCATTGAGCTTAATTGCATTGGGATTTTACCGAATAAAATATTGTTATTTAATATTTTTAAGAATTTGCATCTATTATGCATCCAAACTCATCTCGTCACCATATGGCTGAAATATTGCCGATGTGACGTTAAATTTTAACTAACTCACATATTTACTGTGTTCACGTTGTTGTTTTTTACTTCAGAAACATTATGTTGTCTGATAAGTATCATTTAGGGCGAAATTATAACATTTTTTTTAAATTTTAGGCCCTGTAATCACATACAAGCTTCTTTTAAATTTGACTTGATGCTATGCATCCGATTATGTTGCGCTTACGAATCATCCTAAACTCATTCATTTTTAATCATTCTTGGGCAGATAAGGTATTGTTCAAGTACACTGCCCAGAAGAGAAAACTTTGACATTTAAGATATATTATTTTAAGAAATAACACTGACTTTGCTGAAATTCTCAAACCCACCGCCATTTTGGTTTTTCACACATGGCCAAAGCTGGAATAAGTTCAAACCAACTGCTACATCCTTGTATTATTCTATCTTCCAGCAGCTCTAGTAATAAATGTCAGAAGGAGTTGTGTTCTATTTTCCGGATACGTTACAAATTTGCATGTGAGTGGAGGTTAATGGGGTAAATCATCGGTTAGGGATTTGCTGACCTGGAATTTTGTTCCATGTATTTGATATCAAACTTTTTCCATGAATACACAATGTCATTGTGAAATCGTTCTTCAAAATCTGATAATGACAAGTTCCTTCCATCAAATCTATGAATATGCAATGCCGTTTAGAAAGTGGTCAAATGTAACATTTGCTATAATTGGGATTACACTTTCTCAGTAAAGTTCACATCCTAGTACTTTTGTTGGGTTGATTCCCATCCGGGATTCAAACCCACACCCTCAGAGTCAGGCACCCAATCGACAGAATACATAGTCAGCCGCCTAACCCGCTCAGCCACAGGGTGATGTTTTGTGAACTTTTGTGGATTGTGAATCACCAACTACCCTACGAAATAAAATGTCCTCATCCCTACCAGCGGAGTTGCTGTTTTGAAGATCTGGCCACAATTCTGTATGGATTCGAAATGCGGGAATTCCATCCTTCAACTAATATGAAACATGTTTGTGATAAACAAGCCCTTAATATTCTGTGGAATAAATGAAATGTTGGACGGAGTTGTATGATATTCATGAAAAGGTGTTCAGTTTTGTAAAAATATTCAATATCGGACCCGGAGTAATGTTTAGGATATCAGAGTAATCTAGCTGATAAGGGAATGAAAAGTTGGGCATTAAATGTCAAGAACTTACTTTATAGTCATGGACACTGGCAAACTGTGGGGATTTGTGTTATAATTTAGAAAAAGATGCGCTGATATTGATAATCAGTCGTGGACTCCTGCACTTGAACTTTAATTTGACATTTATCGAAATGTTGTAGTTAATGTTTCCTTCGAAATATATTTGAATATTGCTGAGTGCGGCGTAAAACTAAACTCACTCACTCACTATCCCGAGGAAGCTCAGTACCTTTTCTGTATTCTATATTCCGAGTAATCTACGTTCATACATTGCCTTCCCAGACCAGACAAAGATTGTCCAGCCTTACATACTTTCTCCCTGTTATTAGTAATCCTGGGACCTTTTTATTATTATCATTGGAGCAACGTAGACAGTGTAGCAGGTCAATGACCTGGCCTGTTGAGCTGGTGATGGCTGGCTGTCCTGTTGGGATGGTGATGGTGTATGTGGCTGTGCTGTTGAGCTGATGATGGTTGACTGTCCTGTTGGAATGGTGATGGTGTATGTGGCTGTCCTGTTGGGATGGTGATGCCTGGTTGTCCTGTTGGGATGGTGATGGTGTATGTGGCTGGTCTGTTAGGATGGTGATGGCTGGCTGTCCT